ATATATATATATAGAACAAATAAATTATTAATTTCAACTCTTAATCACACTTGACTCTTCTAATTCTTCCAGTTTTTAATTTCTAAATATTTCCTCCTTTTTTGTTGTCCACTTTTCCCACATTTATTATCTATTATTATAAAAACTATCTATATAAACTATAAATCTGTTATCTCTAATTTTTAATTATACTTAATTCTTTCAATTCCAATTTTTTAATATCCCTTCACTCTTCGTTGTTATCTTTGTCTGTCCATTAATTACAACGAAAATGATATAAATGGAAGTGTCAAAGATAGAGAACTTTCAGGAACATCGTTGATTAACAACCCTTTAAATGGTAACCAGTTGGATCCCGTTCCAACTGACTGTAAACATAGTTTCCATGTTGTACTCTGGTTAGTGTCGATTTTTCATGTTTCAATCTTCAGCATATAGAGCAGGCAATAGTAGTTTATCAGCTCTCTTCATCGCGGAAACCATTGCAGCCGCGAGTTTACTCCTGCAACCATTCATGGTGTCCCTTGTATGTTCTTGAGTACAAGTTGTTTCACGCAAGCTATGGAGCACAAGAAGATAAAAACAGTAAGATTACAGACGAAAATAAGCGAAGAAATAGAAAAAATAGTGTTTTGTTGCATGAGATTATAATTTATAGTATTCTTCACCTTTTTTAAATATGACCGCTTTCTTTTTAATGCTTTTTGATGTTTCTAAAAGACTAAATATTTAGAGAATTATGTAAATGATTTTCTTTGCTTTTTTTCAGGTATTGAAATTCTTTGTAATTTCTGCTTTGTTTATTTCTTCTGCAGCATCAGTATGTTAAAATTTTTAAGTATTTTCTTTTTTTGATTTATTCTTACATCTTGTCTGCAATTATAATTCAATATTCCCAAATTTGATCTTCATTTTCTTTTACTATTATTGCAGTTGTATTGTCCATAATTTTTCTAGTTTCTAGATTCTTTTTTTTTTAATTGTTTCTGGTGCTACATGAAAATGTTCTTGAGTTAAACTTTTCTTCTCTTTAACACCTTTGAATTAAAATTCTTTATAATGTGAAAAAAGAAAGGGGAAAGAACATCTTCACGAGCCACATGAAAACATTAGATGATATTTAAATTATTTTTAGATATAAGAAGATATTTAAATATCTTCTTTCTCATTTATGTCTTGACATCTATTATCTAAAAGATTTATATTCCATTCTTAAAGTCAGTTCCTCAAATTTTTAAGAAATGCAATCTATATTATACCTTCCACTCTAGAGAAACCTAATTAACACCAAATATATATATATAAACAGAGAGAGAAATCTATAGATTTTACATTCTATCCTCATCCCATTTTTCTCGACAGTTTAGAGTGTCATTTCCTCGTTCTGAACCCACGTCACCCTCCAAATAACAATGTAATTATCATGGTCACAAGTATCGTTTCCATAAGTCCGCGGAATGGAAGAAACTCGCTGCCCTGGAAGGGGCTGGTTCGTATAAATGGACACATGTGACAATTAAAACGACAGTCTGAAATCGTTCTCCGGTTAATCCGCCGGCTCTGCTCCAAACGAGGCGCGTGAAACCGAGAGTCCTTAATTAATTAATCGACCAGGGTCCCTCGCGACGATTTCTTCAATTCCATCGGGTACATTCTGGCCAATCACAGTTCGATCCGTCGCCAGCCAAAAAACCCGAGCATATATGCGTTACGTCAGGAAGACCAGCAGCAAGATCATACAGCTGCAATTTCGTACCTTCCTACCGGCCACCGGACACCATTAGCGCAATTATCTTCATATTCTTCTTTTGTATATCTCCTTCTCTTCTTCTTCTTCTTGTTCCTTGACATTGGACACGTTTGGGCCACGATTGGGTTATCTAGAAGGCTCTCTTCAAACAGGTGAGATTCTGTTTTGGTAACTTTAACACTGATAATTTTAGCTGTCTTTTGATTGAAAGTGGAAACAGAAGATTTAATCTTAGAAAATGAAAGATTTTGATTTCAATAATGTAGAAAGGTAAGGTCTGATCTTGAAAGTTTCTTCCGTGTTCTGAATGGCTTTCTTTTTTTATTTGCTTTTTTTTTTTTTTAAGATCTTCATTATCTGGATTAGTGGTTTCCCTTAAGTGATTTCATCCAGTGAGATTAGGGAAGTAGATTTTTTTCAAAGATGTTAGATGTTCTGGATAAAATCTCAAGAGCTTGTTATTGTGGAATTTGTGGCTAAAAGAGCTAAAAATAACATAGGCCAATTTTCTTTAGATATTTAATAGCTGTTAAAAGAAAGAAATGAAGACTCTACTACTTTGAAGTAGTTGTTGAGATCATAAAACTTTTAGTAGAGATCTTCTGGAGTCCCAGTTCAAAAAAGATCAACTGTTTAACGAGAGTACTTTAAACTTGTTAAACACAGAATCTTGAAGTTTCAGTAGTGGGTTTCAATCTTTTGAAGATATCCACGTCGATCTCGAATGTGTCAGAAGTTTCAGGAAAATTTGTAGTTGCTGTTCTTGTCGACAGTAGAGTGGTTGTTGAGGTTTCTGAGTAAGTTCGAAGCATTTCACGTTCTTCATGAAATTTAATCTCCTTTCTCTTGAGAAATATTCATTCAACAAGAAGATTCCAAAATTTTATTTCAATTACTGCCATAGATTATTGACAGTACTTCAATAAGAAAATTTACAGAAAATTGAAAAATCTATAGAAAACAAAAAAAGAGAGAAATTTACTTGTGAAAAAATTTCTATGAAAATTAGAAGATACGATATGTGAGATTTATAAAAATATTTCAGAGAAATCAGGAAATCTACTGAAAATTCCCAGAAAGGGAAATTTACAAATGTTGCAATTGAAAAAAAATGTACGCAGATTTTCATTTAGGAGAATGTTGCAATAAATTGCTTAAAACGAATAATACAAGGGACCACGAAGAAAATAAATAACTGGATATTATTTCGTCCTGTATAAGTAATAATATTCACGCATATCCGGCTCTCTTTGCAATTATTCAAAGGAAACCTTATGTTTCCGCTTATTAACTCTCAAATGGATTACAATTGTAATTCGAGCTTTGTTTCTCCATTGAGATTCTGACGACAATCGTACCTGTCCATGCTTCTAAATCAGTCTGTTATCTCGCAGTATCGTTATTGCCTGAGTTCATAAGCTGGCTAATTGACCAAAGTTTAGGTTCCTTATTAAATATTCAATTCCTTTAATACCTAGAATTCTTACAGTGAAATATTAAATTAATAACAAAGATTAGGAAATCAAACTTATTGTTTCCAGTGTTCTTGTTGAAGAAGATTTTATTTAATTAAGGAAGAAACTGATATATATTTTAATCATAATTCGGCACTGACACTTCATTTTTGATGAGAAGAATGGCCAAAACATTGCTAACATTTTTCCTGAAAGAAAAAGCTGCAAGTACTTATATTTGCTGTTTACATTTCATGTATATTCTTAAAAATAAAAACATAAATGAGGAAGACAAACATATATTGATAAGCAGCAGTTGAATATTTCCAAATTAGAAAAAAAA